CCTGTAAACAAGTGTTCAGACACACCTGCACCCATACACACACCCACACACACACTCATATCTACAAACATGGAGAAGAGGGGCAGCAACACCAAAAATACATATAACATAACAAGTCCATAAGTACTGACAGGCACAGGTCCCATAAATATTATATTTTAAAAGACAGTTTTAAAAAAACAACACAGTTTCTTGTTTTCTTGTTTGTTTGTTTGTTTGTTTGTTTGTTTGTATTTAATGACAATGTGCTCAAATTATTTTGCTCCTGTGGAGATTTATCTATTTAAAGAGCAACATGGACATTTAAAAGACAGGACTTGTTTTTCTAATTATGTGTAAGAAAATAAATGCTACCAAAAAAACTGCACAGTCATGGCTTTTTCTTTTGTTTTTCTTTTTTCAGAATACAAAATTTTAAGGCAAACAATACTGAAAGAAAAATTCAAACCTTTTTAACTATGGTGTTTAACAAAAACAAGCAAGCAAACAAGAAATAAATAAATAAGCAGTTGTTAGAACTGCAGCTAAATAGTTTTCAGATGGCCCAACCGTCTAAACCCAAACAGAGACCTAGAATGTGCCTATCTCTGAAGAACTTTGGGTAAGCATCTGATGTTTACATGTGCTGTGACAATTTTCATAGCCCATATTTGACGAATACTTTTCCTGCCTCCTCCCCAGGTGTTCCAGAGGAGGTTGGACGGCTCGGTGAACTTCTACAGACCCTGGGATCAGTACAAGACGGGCTTTGGTAACGCTGCTGGAGAGTACTGGCTCGGTGAGGAATGGGTGCTGTTTATCAGTCATTAAATTATCTGTTCATAAAGTAGAACCTCTTATGGGACTTCAGGGGTAGTGGTATAACCATAAAAACTTGATCAATGAGTTTATGATTCTCTCCAGGTTTGGAAAATGTCTTCTACCTGACGCAGAGAAAAAGGTACGAGCTGATGGTCAACATGGAAGATTTTGATGGAAACAAAGTGTTTGCTCGTTACTCCTCGTTCTCCATCGATGGGGAGTCTGACGGCTACAGGCTGAATGTGTCTGGATTCACTAATGGAGGGGCAGGTGGGTGAATACATATTTAAGTAAGTTTAAAGTGACATTTTGTGCTGGATTCTTGTGGAGAGTCTGTAGGAACAGCAGGTCATGAATCAGTGCCTGGGGAAAGGAGCTCAAATACAGGAGGCTGGTCCAAAAATAGTCCATTTAGAACACTCCCAGTACACCTGCTGATCAGTCTGACTGGGATTAAAGGTAATGTTGGGATTGTTCATCTGTGTTTCTGTAGGAGATGCCCTGAGT